AAACCAACATTGCCCTCCAAGGAGTGGCACTGTCCCTGATACTGGCTGCTACTTCCCAACACATACTGTCCTTGATGCCTTTCCTTTTCAGTTTCGAGGCGAAATTCTTAAACTAAGATCTAGAGGGATTATGGGAATCACAGTCCTCCCTAGAATCACCTTTGCTACCCCACTGAGGAATTCCTCTATGACAGACAAAGTAGAAATGAAATGAAAAATGATTTGTGAGTTCCAGACACATGCTCTCATGCACTCACACAGCTTAGTTAGCTTAGCACACACCTATAGCACTAAACTGTCTTTTAACAATAAGCAAAAAGGCATGAGAGTCATTGTCTTTAGTTCAAGGGCTGGCAAACTATGGCCCACAGTCAAATCTGGCCCACTACCTGTTTTTGTAAATAAATTTTTATTGAAACATAATTATATTCATTTGTTTCCTAATTGTCTTTGGCTGCTTTAGGTCTATAAAAGCAGAGTTGAGCAGTTGCAGCAGAGACCATATGACCCACAAAGCCTAAATATTTACTAACTGCCCTTTTACAGAAAAAACATTGCCAACTTCTGCTCCAGTTATTCCATTTGGGGCAGATATTTGTTCTGAGCACAATCCTATATTATTCATGACTCCCTTTATCCCTACCTTTCTTCCCAGATCAGGATGAGGTCTTTCCCTAGCTGCCCCAGTTCCTGGATAAACCAGCTTTCCTACCTGTATATGTCCTAAGTCCATCATCTCTTTAAATTTAAACTACTTTTCTCAACTAGTAATTCAGTGGTGTTCTCTGGACTCTTTCCACAGAAGTTTCCTAAACCCACTCATCTTGGTCACACAGCTTTCTGCTCATCTTCCCCATTCCAAGCTAGACAATACCAACAGTTAACCCAGTATTCACCTCCAGGAGACTCAAACTTCTTTATAACCTTTCTCAGTGTGTTAGGACTTTATCAGTTGCAAATTACAGAAACCTTATCCAAATTAGCTTAATTTTAAAACGAAAAGTTTTCTACAAAATCTAGAAGCTGATCTATGGCTCCCAGAACTCAGGTGATACCATCTGAACTCAAACATATGTCATTTCTTGGTGCTGTATTCCTCAGTATTAGCTTCATTTGAGCAGGCCTTTACCACGTGGCAGTCAGAAGGCTATGAACAGTTTCAGCTTCTCATATCTCTCAACATCTTCAGAAAAGAGAGATCCCCTTCATTATAACAACAACAACAACTAAGAACTGAGTCTCAGTGGCTTGGATGGGGTCATGTGATCATCTCTGAGACAATCACTGTGGCCAGGAGAGTGGAATATTGTGATTGGCCTGGGGTGGATGTTGGGTAGGCAACCCAACTGGACAGGCAGATTTAACCTGGCAGAGGAGTGTTTCACAGAGGAAAATGCTCCTACCAGATGGAGAGTGAATGGATGCTGACCTGACAAGAACTATAGAAAACATTTCACCCCACCTTCTGGGTCTGTATTACTTATCCCTCTGGATTTTTACTTTCTCCTTCTCTGCTGTCTTCTCAAGAGACTGTACCAACATTTGAGTCTCTTCCAGAACCACATGATAAAGCCTGTGCTTCCTGGGCTATAATATACCTTCCCTCTTACCTGTTCATCTACCCTCTCCTTTATCTCATAAGCTCTGGGGATGTTCAGCTCCCACCATCAGTTCCCCAAATGTCCCAGGTCTTCACCGTGTCTTTGCACACCCCATTCCCTCTGCCTTTCTCACTTTGTCTGCAGGAAGCACTTCTGATTGACTCTCTGGGTCAAGAATCCTGTCCTCTGGGAAGCCCCCTCCCCTCTAGAGTAGAAGACAGCATCTCTACTCTGTTATCACTGCCCCTGCACCAATGTCTTGCTGTTCCTCTGATCAGGCAATTACCCCCACAGGGTATATCTTTGTCTTCTCTTTTAGACAATGGGTTCTTCAAGGACAGGGACATTTTCAGGAAATGTTCAATGAATGTATGCATCTTATCAGTGAGCTGGTCTTTGTATGATTTTTCCAACTCCAGACTTATAGCAACGCCAGTCCCTCTAAAATCCCAAAGGATTAATTGGAGACCACAGGCTTAAAAGGAAGATGAAGTCAATTAGACACATTACTAATTAATTCAGTAAACATTTAGTGAACACTTTATGTGCCAAGCAATGAAACCATGGGATGATTTGGCTATGTTTCCAACCTCAAGAAACTCAGTTTATGATAAACAAAGGAAAATGTCTTGCCTTTTTATCACTCCCTCCCCAATACCTAACTTAGTATCTGACACATAGTCAATGTTTACTAAAGTTGCTGAACAAATAAATGAGTAAATGAGTACGTGAAGGAGCTAATGCTTTGGAAGGTGTAGCTAAGGCTCTGTCAGAGTGTGGGATCCAAAGAGACAGCTGGAGAGGTATTGTTCCATTGTCTCCTGTATACTGAAAGTGCCAGGAACTGTACCAGTTGCTGGGGGTTCAGCGAGTAGGGACAACCCACTGCTGACTCCATGGCCAATGCCCCCCATACTTACAAGAGAGTGTGAGAATTGCCAAGCAGAGGTGGGCTGAGAGCTATGATAAGAAAATGTGGTGGGGAGTGTAAAGTGGGGAAGCCAATTAATTTCTTTTTGTTCTTTATTGATTAAGGTATTACATACCTTATCGCCCCATTGCCCCCCACCCCCCACTCATGCCCTCACCCCCCTGTTGTCGGTGTCCATTGATTAGGCTTATATACATGCATACAAGTCCTTTGGTTCATCTTTCCCCCTTACCCCCACCCTCCCCTGTCTTCCCTCTGAGGTTTGATGGTCTGATCGATGCTGCTCTGTCTCTGGATCTGTTTTTGTTCATCAGTTTATGTTGTTCATTATTTTCTGAATTTCTTGATTGAGCAGTAGGTGTCTTTCATAATGAGATCTCTATGTTCTCAGCCCTTTCCAAAGTTTTCTGTGGGAGCCCCAAGAAAATACTAATCCATTTGCTCAAGGAAATTATCATTCATATGAGGGGGGAAACATTCATAAGACAGTAAGAAGAAAACTAGTAGACAATGGCTGGCTACATGCTACATTCAAGACAAAGAAAGTCACAAAAGAGAGAACTCAGGTTCATAGTGGTCCCAGGTGTTTGGGAAAAGCTTCCTGGAGGAGGAACATTCAGGACGGGAAGCTGTGGGGACTATAGACCTCTGAGGGTCTCCAATGGCAGGCTGGGGCCCTTTCATACAGTTACAGTTTACTCTGTAGGTAGCAAAGAGTCATTGAAGAGTATTGACTTGGGAGGGGTATAATTAGATATGGATTTTAGAAAATTTAATCCCATACGTAATATAGAGATGAGGGTGGGAGATGGGGATGCGAGATAAGATCAAGGGGCACTAGCTTTGCCATCGCACCAGTGAAAAATCATGGCAGCCTCAATCACATCCTTCAGTTGAGATGCCTGGCTCCCAGCAGCTGGATGGCCATCACAAACAGTTCCTTTCCTTTGGCACCTGGTCTAGTAAATATTTCTTGGGGGTTGCAATTCATTCATTCATTTAACAAATATATATTGTTCTAAACCCAGGTCTAGGTACTGGGAATAGATCTGTGATCAAAACAATGAAATCCCATGTCCTTGTGGGGCTCCCACCCTAATAGTCCTCTGTACTGCCATAGATTGCTCCCAGGGAGAGAGGAAAGTGGTCCAGAATTGTCTTTCAGGGAAGTACATCCGGGAGGTTCTTTTGGCAATCAATCAGCTTCCCCTACCCCAACTCTCTCCTACAGCCCATTGGCTAATAAGCCATGTGCTTCTTACATTTTATCCAATTTAGTCCTGATCCCCAGCAGAGCCTAATGAGGTGGATGGTGGTGCCCATTATGCAATGATAATGTGTGGGCAAGGACTCCTGGGATGCCCCTGACAATGGCTTCCCTTAGAGAGCACTGAGGCAGGGGGCATGTATGGGGACATGCTGCTATTCATCAGGCACAGGGTTAGTAGGGAGGCCCTGTCTCAGGCCAAGGAGGCTTCCTCAATGCCTGAGTTAGTCCATGGGTCCTGGGGAGGACCACATCTCATCAAAACCAGCACTGGTATCCACAGAATGCTGATCAGACTCAGACATCAGGATCTAAGATGATACTGTGATGCAGAAAATACACAAAATAACCAGGCAGCCTTTATAATTAACTTCCGCTCCCTTCCAGCAGTCATTTGGAGTTAATGGTTTCTTAATTCAGTGCTCATTTTGGTGACTTTAATTTCCAATTAATTTTGCCGATTTTCCTTCGAGGTGCTCATGGTGTGATAGAAATTCCTGCAAGGTAAAGTCCCCACCATGGGGACCTGGGTGGGGGCAGCTGAGGTCAAACTACCACCAGAAGGCTGGGCTCTACCTGAGTGCAGAAGTCAGAGCCTCCCGAGTCAAGGGGGTCCTTGAGGGGCATAGGGGACAGGGGAGAGCTGATAAAGTAGTGCAGGGGTGATGATGCTCTTAAATTTAGCTGGCTCTTGATGAGAGTGGGGTAGCAGAGGAAGCCCACCCCTGCTGGAACTATAAGGGATGCTTCAGGACTAGGGACAATGTCCTTTCTTCTGTCAAGCAAAGGGGCGGGGGGATTTTTTGAGACCTTAGTGCTCTGAGCCAGGACCATTGGTACCTGCCCAGATCCCCTTTGCTGGGCCTATGCCCAGCTGCTGCAAGTGTCAGCTGCTAATGGCACACAGCACCCACTTCTTTAGAATTGCCTTTGGCAAATGGAATTCACCTCTGCTGGGAGGCTCCACCCTCCCTGCTGCTCAGGCATCCAGTAGATAGGTGCTGAGTGGTATAAGCAAAAGGCTGCTCTGTTGCACCTGTCCCTACCCCTGCCCCTTGCCACAGGGTGAGGCTGCCTCTGTGCTGTGGTTCCAGAGTATGCAGCCAGATGCCAGTTCTTACTTAAGTCTTTCTTTTTTTTTTCGGTTTTCACATTTTATTGGGGGCCACAGGGGAGGGGACCTCCTCCCTGTTAAGGGGGGGGAGTTCACAGTTTCTTCAGCCACTCCAGGCTTTGGCCCTGGGGGTGCTGGGGGTGGCTGGGCACGTCGGGCATGTTCCCATCATCTCGGACGGGCACTGGTAGTTGTAGGGTGTGACCTTGTTGATCATGACGGCGTACTTGGTGAAGGGGCTGACGAAGGGCAGAAGCAAAGAGAGGCTCCCGATGGCGCAGGACGCGACCAGCACCGGCTCCTTGGCCCAGGCATCCCTGATGAAGGTGGCGAGTCTCCCGGCCATCTTCAAGTCTTTCTTATATTGTGTCCTTCTCCCTCCATCCCTTTCTCCTTTGAGGATTGCTCAACAAATCCCATGCACCTCAATCTCTGTCTTGGACTCAGCTCTGGGGAATCCAAATTGCAACAGTACTTTATTACATTAAACTATTGTCTAGCTCTTATGGTGTATAGATAATGTTCTAAGTCCTTTATAAAAAAATTTCATTTTATCCTCATAGCAACCCTGTGAGGTAGGCATTGTTGGCATCCCTATTTCGATATAAGAAAACTGAGACACAGAGCGGTTGAGAGATTTGCCCAAGATCAACATAGGTAGTAAGTGCAGAACAGGAACATGACCTCAGTCAACCTGGTTGCAGACTCTGTAACCTTAACCATCATACTGCCTAACATGTAACCACTAACCCCAGCAACTGCCCTAGAGGCATGGGCAACCAGAAGGATGAGGGATACCTTTTCCCGAGGTCTCTGTCAGGGGGATTGAGGCACAGGAAGTTGGGAAACCCTGCAGCTCTGGCCCCATGATGTCAGAGCACACTCTCCCCAACCACTCCAGGGATGTTACTTAGACTGATAACATGACTCAGTGGAGCCAGTGCTAGTGTGGAAGTCAGATCACCCAGACTCTAGAGCCACCTTCGGGACTTGGGATGAATAATTTTCACCAGCGGGCCTCTGTTTCATGAAGAGCCCTAGCTCTGAGTTTTTGCCTTTAGGAAGTGGAAACTTGGTGCTTCTCTGGGGATCCCTCATCAGAGGCTGAGCCCAGATGTCTGTCCAGGAAAAGCAGGGAAGATACATTCCAGGACCTGCAGGCATCAATGGCTTTGTCCCCAAGGGATTGGAGGAAGGGTCACGGGGCCACAGAAGAACCTGGGTTGCAATGACCACTCAATGTCCATTTATGGAACACTCATCTGTCAAGCATTTGTCAGGTGCCAGTATTATGCTGGACTCTGCGCTTGTAAATCTGCAGGGGTACAATGGCGACAACTTCACAGCAATTGTCATCAACTCACTGACCCTTGCCCTATGTAAAGACCCCCCCCAACACACACAGTGATGTTTGGAGTTTCCACGGGGTGCCTCCATTGTTCTGGGGTAACTGTTCTTTGCTATCAAGTGCGGGTGTGCCATGTCCTTGTTCGGCTGCCCAAACCCTCTCAGTGATGCCCACGCCTATAGAGCCACAGGAGAGGACTCCACTGCTGACTCCATGGCCAATGCCTTTAATGAGAAGGCCACAGCTGGCTGTGCTCCCAAAGATGCCAGTCCACAAGGGACCACGAAGCCTGCTGTTCTCTTTGACGCTCCTCAAAGGAAAAGAAGAGACCCCGTTCATTTCCTGAGGCAGGCCTGGAGTTGGGTGAAGACAGTGAGAGAGGGTGAATAGGAGTGGTGCAAATATTCTTTCCTTCTCCCCTGCCCTCCCCACCCCTATCCTGCTTCCTCCTCCTTTTGACTTAACAAGACCATATCCAGGGTGGCCACCTCTCCACAGGCCAGGGAGGCAGGGAGGGGACAGAAAAAGATCCCGTCTGCCATCACGCTCTCTGTGAGTCCCAATCCCCTTCCACTTCCCCCCCAAAACCAGCCCTCACTATTCCCCGTGGCAACAGCTGCTGCCAGATCAAAGCATCTGCGAGAGCTCAGGACCAAGGCCTGTGGAGGGTGCCAGAGCCAGTGTGGCCATCACTGTATCAGATCCCAATCCCCCGCTGGCAAGAGCTGCAAAGTCCAGCTGGCAAGGGCTGTGAGTAAAAACGCTGCCTTTGTGGAGAAGGACACCAACTTTACTCTTGGAGCTAGGGCGACAGGTGGCATGTTGTGGCTGTTAGAGGCAGCCCTGGAAGACCCTCCTGGTTGTGCTCCAGCTTCTTTTCTCACCCTCTTCACTCTCCACGAGCACAGCTCTGACCACGCCCCTCTCCTGTTCAATAACCATAAAAGATTTTATAAAGCCCACTGGATGAGCTGCCATGCTCTGGCTCTAAACCACCTTTACTCATATCACAGATTCCAGTTAAACCTAAACTTGCCTAAACTTGCCCTTTGCTGCCAAGCCTCAGAACGTTGGAACATGGCATGTCCTCTGTGTGGAGTGCTCCACCGTCCTCCTTCCCACTGTGGAGAACCCGGGCCAACAGGCCTGATACTAAGTCAGCCAATATTATCCCCTCCCCTGGTGCCCATGCTCTCCCCTGCCCCCATGGCCTTTGTCTCCCTAGATCCTGGGGAGGAATGCAGCAGAGTTATTGTCATAGGGTTGGAAGGGACCCGAGAGCTCCAAGTCCTCCCACACCCTTCCCTAGATCAGTGATTCTCATATTCAGGATGCATCAAACCCCCTGAGAGGCCCACCATCAGAGTTTCTGATTCAGGAGGTCTGGAGTGGAGTCCAAGTATTTTCATTTCTAACAAGCTACCAAGTAATGTCAGTACTGCTGGTCCAAAGACCACTCTCTGGGAACTGTTGACCTAGATATTGATTCAGAAGTTAACCTTGTATCTCTGTTTCCCCAAAGGACCCAATGCAAACACACCCACTCCCTGGTTTGGCTTTCATTGATGGTTGTGGTGCCTGAGGGAGAGGCTGAGCTTCTAGGCACCTGCCATTCAGAGTCCTGAGAAAGGTTTCAGCCATCAGTACTACAATGAAGTCACTGACAAGAACACAAAATTCTCTGCAGGGAAAATAATCACAGTGATCCATAAAGTAGCATGATATAACCATCAATAGTGGCAATAATAATAGTAATAACATGATTGTAATATAATGTCGTCTGCCCTAATATGCTAAATCCAGATTGACCTGAGCAATATAAAAGAATTACTGACATACACAAATGCTCACAAAGTCTAGCTTAGAAATATTTGGGGCCATTTGGAATATGGCAATGGTTATGACAGCTGTAACACCAAACTGCATTTGTACAAAGCGTTGGAGATTCTAAAGCACTTCCACTAGTTTGTTTGTTTGTTTGTTTGTTTGCTTTGACACTGGGAAGTAGACAGACAGGCAAACTTCTTTGGTTTATAAACGAGGCTCACATTTGGCAAATGTGGGTTGAGTACGTGTTATGTGCAGGTCAGTATAAGCGGGGGCATGCTTATACTAAAATATTATTCATTGTTCATCAAGTTTAATGGGTGTCCTGTGCTTTATTTGCTAAATCTGGCACCCTGACTGGGGGAGGAAGGAGGGGATAAAAAGAATAAAAAATGTTTCTTGCCCTCAGAACAAGTTCACAGCCTGGCAGGAGACGAAAGATCCCAGACATGATCCAGGTCCATATGATCAGTGGGGTGAGAGCTGCGCTTCCCAAACTTGAATGTGTTCAGGAATCACCTGGGGATGTTGTTAAACTGCAGCTCTGCTTTAGGAAGCCCAGGGCTGGGCCCAAGATTCCACATTTCCAACTACCTCTGGGCGATGCCATTACCACTGATCCCTGGCACACTGAGTAAGAGAAGGTGCGGAGGGAAGCTTAGAAGCTGTGGGAGCTCAGAGGAGGTACCTGGTTCCCTCTAGCGGTCTTCTTGGAGGAGGTGGTACCTGGTGGGTCTTGGCTGGTAAGACTCAGGGGAGAAAGGCAGAGAAAGTGTTCCAGGTGAAGAAGCACCATTTGTGGAGTCCCAGTGGAGAAGAATTGCAGGTTAGGGAAGGGCAGGAGGGAACATGGATGGAGGACAGGGTTTGAGCCAGCAGGACTGGGCTCTGGGAATACAGAGATTAATCAGACAAAGTTGTTGCCATCTCAGACCCCCACCCTATCTCATAGGAGAGGAAGAGCTATAGACAGACCAGTATCATCCTATGTTCTGGTGCTGAGTTGGAGGTAAGCACTGGAGTCAGGGGACCCCAGGGCTTGTTGGATGAATGAATTTAATGTAAACTTAGTGCAGGGAAAAGGCCAGGCCCAGAGGAGGCCCAGCTGACACAGTGACCCAGAGTCTGTATCCCAGGCCCTCACTCATTCACATCATCTCCACATCTTGGTCAGAATATCAGTGGCAGAGAAACTGGTTATGAGAGTAGCCCTGTATTCATGTGATTGGGTTCTGGAATCTGTAGTGATTATGTGGCCTTGGAGCACTTTAAAGTTACCAGAGCTGGGGTAGTAGCCCCCACAAGGCCTGTTCTAGTTCTTCAGGTTCATCATAGCACCTAAGACAGAATCCATTCTCTCCCTCTTCCTTTGGTAATAGATTGCCTGTGTTTTAGCTTGGGACATGGCCTCTCAGAACCAAGTCTACTCCCAGCCTCCTTAGATGTGATCTTGCCAATAGGGTGTGGTAGACATAGCCTGGGAATCAGTCTGGGTGCAGTGCAGGAAGCAGGCTCTACTCTAGGTGTTCCAAGTAAAATGGGACTTAATAATGAGGTGGGCACTTAAAAAATCATTGGCAGGGTTGGAAACAGAAAGGTGGTGGGATACTGCTAGGATTTGTAGTCATGGCAGCTACAGACCAGAGGTCAGGAAGCTCCAGAAAACCACTCCAATGTTGCAGCTGCCCACAGACAGAAGGTGATCAGACAGCACACTGGATATCTAGCCACTAGTCGAAACTCCCATGGGCCAGAGGTTCAAGGCCAGCTGCGTCCACTGCCCCAGGAAGAATGGCCTCCACCTTCTTTCTGCCTTCCAGAGCCCACGTGGGTGAAGCTCATTGGCTGGAACTAGTCACATCCAGAATCCTAGTGTTAAAGGAGTCTGAGTCATTCAGTGTTGAGGCTTCTAGGCTCTGTGATAAAGCAAAAGCGTAGCAGGGCAGGGACAGAGCAGGCCAAATGCCCCTGGACAGTACTTACTGTCACCCTTCCTGCCAGCTGGGACGCAATGGGGACAGCACCATCCTGGGATGGCAAAGAATCACACTAGAGGTCTCAGAAATGCCCCAGGAGCTGGGTGAGAAGTAAACTTATGTCATGTTTAAGTCATTGTTTCAGCAGCCAAACCTGTTCTGATTCAGCACCACGAAGTATATAAAATGAGGCCT